AAACCATCAAAACATACCACAACCAAATTTTCCAGTGTTAACAGCAAGGCGAGTATCTTGAGAACAGCTAGGGAAAAATGGAGTATCCACTTACAAAGGAAAACCAATAAGAATAAGCTTAGATTTTTCAGCATGTATCATGTAGGCAAGAAGATCACAGAATGGCATATAAAATCCTGAAGGGAAGAAAAATACTGCCCACCAAAAATCATAATCATAAAAAATTATTCCTTCAAGTATGATGGAGGAAATAAAGGTTTTTACTATGTAAGGATGAAATAAGAAGTTTGTAGAAAAAATACTAGCTTTACAAAAAATATTAAGATTTCTTTGAATAGAGAATAAACAAAACAGCAGACACAAACCTAAGATCAACATATAAGAAGACAAAGCTACACAAATATAAATTTGCTCAAAACAGTATTGAATATTAAATAAAATTTCAAGACTGAAAACTGGGAACTAGAGAAATTGATCTAAAATGAAAAACAAAACAAAAAACAAAACCCAAGGACATAAAAAATGTAGATAGAAAACATTCTAATGAAAACAAAGACATGTAGTTTGCAAGACAACAGATTATCTTAAAAATAGGAAGAAAATAATAGATTACAGGGTCATCTCAAATAAAATGGAAAAATCTCATTAAAGATAAAAATAGAAAATCATAAAAAGTAGAAAAAAATAGCAGCAAAGAAAAACATGCACGCATGCACACACACACACACACACAAGCACACACATCTTAGACAAAGAGACAAAACAGACTAAAAATCAAAGGATTGAAAAATTTGTAACGCTGATGGTAAAACAAAACAAAACTCCCAAACCCAAAAAACCTAGAGTGGCAATATGAATCTCTAATATAAACTTCAACACAAAAATCAGCATGAAAGATAAAACAAGGGTACTACATAATGAATAAAAGAACAACATAACAAGAAGACATAATCATAATAAACATATACATACACAATGAAAGACTCTTGAAATGCTTACAGAGCTAGAGAGAAAAACAGGAAATTCAGCAATAATAGTAGGAGACTTCAACACAACACTTAAAAAAAATCATTTTATTGGGGGCTTCTACAACTCATCACAATTCATATATACACCCATTGTGTCAAGCACATTTGTACATTTGTTGCCTTCATCATTCTCAAAACATTTGCTTTCCACTTGAGTCCTTGGCATCAGTTCCTCATTTTTTCTCCTCCCTTCCTATTCCCCCTACCTCATGAACCCTTGATAATTTGTTATTGTTTTGTCATATTGTACACTGTCCAACGTCTCCCTTCACCCACTTTTCTGTTGTCCGTCCTCCAGAGAGGAGGTTATATGTAGATCTTTGTAATTGGTTCCCCCTTTCAAGGCCACCTTCCCTCCACCCTCCTGGTATTGCCACTCTCACCACTGGTCCTGAGGGATTCATCTGTCCTGGATTCCCTGTGTTTCCAGTTCCTCTCTGCACCAGTGTACATCCTCTGGTCTAGATGGGTTTGTAAGGTAGAATTGGGATTATGATAGTGGGGGAAGAGGAAGCATTTAGGAACCAGAGGAAAGTTGTATGTTTCATCGTTGCTACACTGCACCCTGGGTGACTCGTCTCCTCCCTACTACCCTTCTGCAAAAGGATGTCCAGTTGCCCACAGATGGGCCTTGTGTCCCCACCCCACACTCCCCCTCATTCACGATGATATGATTTTTGTTCTTTGGAAACACACTACTTTTGAGGAAAGACTGATTACTAGAAACCAAATCAGGAAAGATATAGAACCAAACACAATTAACCAACTTGACCTTGTAGACATATATAGAACACTCTCAAGAACAGTATATATTCTTTCCCAGTGCACGGGGAGCATTCTCCAGAATAGACCATGTTTGGACACACAGTACATCTTAATATATTTAAAAAATTGAGATTTTAGAATTCATCTTCTCAGGTCACAGTGATATAAGATTAGAGATGAACAATAGGAAGAGCAAAGACAAAATTTGAAATATATGGAAGCTGAATAACATGCTTCTTAAAAATTACTGAGTAATTGATCAAATAAGGAATGAACTATAAAATCTCTTGAAACAAATAAGAACAAAAACAAAACATACCAAGACTGTTGAGACAACAAAACCAATACTCAGAAGGCAATTGATTGCAATTAATGCACTCATGGACAAAGAAGCCAAAAACCTAAACCAAATTCACTGTCACTGAGTTGATGCCGATTCATAGCAACCCTATAGGACAGGGTAGAACAACCCCTATGAGATTGTAACTTTAAAAAAAAAATCATTTTACTGGGGACTCATACAACTCTTATCACAATCTATACATCCATCCATTGTGTCAGGCACATTTGTATATTTGTTGCCCTCATCATTCTCAAAACATTTGCTTTCTGCTTGAGCCCTTGGTATTAGCTCCTCATTTTTTACCCTCCCTTCCCGATGCCCACTCTCAAATGAACCCTTGATAATTTATACATGATTATTATTTTGTCATGTCATACACTCTCCAATGTCTCCCTTTACCACTTTTCTGTTGTCCATCCCCCAGGGAGGAGGTTATATGTAGATCCTTGTAATTGGTTCCCCCTTTCTACCCCACCCACCCTCCACCCTCCTGGTATTGCCACTCTCAGCACTGGTCCTGAAGGGATCATCTATCTTAGATTCCCTGAGATTGTAACTTTTTATGAGTAGCAGCTAGAGGTTTTGAAATATAAAATCAATACTGTCACCAAGCTCTTCGATAATTAGAAAAAGAGCAACACAATACATCTTCTCTAACCAGGAAAATAGAAATCATAAAGATTAGAGCAGAAAACAGAAAAACAACAGAAAAAAATCAACGAGACAAGAAGTTGGTTCTTTGAAAAGATTAACAAACTTGACAAACCACAGGCAAAGTTCACAAAGTTAAAGTAAGATAAGATGCAAAGATCAAGAATAAGAGATGGAATAGGTGGCATCACTACAGATCTAAACGAGAATTTAAAATAGTAACACATGATTCTGAAAGACTACTCCAACAAGTTCAAAAACCTGGACTAAATGGACATATTTCTAGAAACATACTATTTACCCAAATTAACATAGATGGATGAAGAATAGCTCAACTGACCCATCACAGAAGAAGCAATAGACCAGATCATTAAAAAAACTTGCAACAAGAAAAGGTCCAGGGCAAGAAACTCTTGAACTCGTTTTATGAAGCATAACATTGATACAAAAACAGACATTACTAGGATAGAAAATTACAGACCCATATCCCTTTTGAATATACAGTAGTTGTAAATATTCTAAACCAAATCCTGGCCATGATCAAGTAGAATTCATTCAGGTAGGCAAGGATGGGTCAACATTATAAAATCAATGTAACCCATCAGATAAAAGGTAAGAACTACATGATCATATCAATTGATACATGATCATATCAATTGATACTGAAAACATATTTGACAATATCCAACCCCTTTCCCAATAAAAACACTTTGCACAATAGGAAGAGAAGGGAATTAGGAACACAATAAATCCCATATATGCAAAACTAATAGAGAACATCTTGCTCAATGCGAAGAAAATGAAAGCATTCTCCTTTTGAACAGGAACCAGAGAAAGATGCACCTAATCTCTACTCCTAGTCAATATTGTGCTAGATGTATTAGTCAGACCTATTAGACAACAACAACAAAAATCAGAGGTGGAAGGCTGATGCGTAGTTTGAACTATTTAATAGATAGTTGATGGTCTGCAGCATAATCCACCCCCCACTTAATTCCTAATAAAAAAATTCATCTAAAAAAAATCAAAGGAATATAAATTGACAAAGAAGTAAAATTCTCTTAGCAGTTTATATGGTTTTATACATAGTAAGCTCCAAAGATTCAACAAGAAAACTATTGGAAACAATATAAAAATCAGTTACTGTGACAAGACACAAGATTAATATACAAAAATCAATATCAGGTGTTTGCATGCTAATGAAGAGAGCTGGGGAAAAAGAGAACAAGAAACCAATAGCATTTACAGTAGCTACACAAAAGATGAAATACTTAATAATAAGCCTACTCAGAGAACAAAGATGTGTACAAAGCAAACTACAAGACACTCGTAGAATAAACCAAGAACCCTATAAATATTGAAAAATATCCCATGCTCATGGATCGGAAGGTTTAATACTGGGAAAATGTCTACATTAACCAAAGATATATATAAGTCCAACACAATTCCAATCCAGATCTGAATTTCATTCTTTAAAGAAACGGAAAAAGTAATTACTAATTTTATTTGGAAAGGAAAGAGACCCAGAACAAGCAAAGAATTTCTAAAAAAGAAACAACAAAGTCGAAGGCCTCTTCACTTCTCAATCTCAAAATCAAAGGTGATGAGATAAGGTAAGCTACTGGGGAATTTATTAAGTAGCTTAAATTGTTGAAAACATAATTGATTATCTGAAATATAAACCCATACCTAATTTAAATTTTAAAATTTTAGAAAAAAATTAGTATATAAGGATTCAAAATTGATATATTAAGACAAATAACAAAAACCAAAAAATTCAGTCACTGTGTCCAGGCCAATGCACAGCAACTATATAAGATAGAGTAAAACTTCCCCCTTGGGTTTCCAAGTCTTTAAAAAAATCTTTCTAGGATCAGACAGTCTCATCTTTCTCCCATGTAGCAAGATGGGTTCAAACTGTCGGTGTGGTTAAGAGCTCAATGTGCAGGCCGCTTCACCACCAGGGATCCTTAAGTCAATCTATAGTCCCCTAAAAATTATTTCAGAAAGAACAATGAATACAACAGTAACATGGAATCAGATCACCTTCCTTTTTTTGGAGTTAAAAGTGGTGACATTTGTTAGAGTAGAATGCATGGGATGGTCAGAGAAAAAACCCATAGGTTTATTATAGTTAAGGAGGGCAATTAAGAGAGCTCCCTCAAATCAAGAGGGGAAATTGACAAAAACAGATCATTTGGAGAGATCTTTACCTTGCTGCAGATGGTTTTCATTGTGTGCAGTCTATCAAGTGATTCCTGAGGATTTCCCAGATACTGCTGAAGCTCTGCATGTAAGATCCGCATTGAGAAGGGAACCATTGAGCCTGGAATCAAAACCAAAGTTGAATTAATTTGTTTTCAATAATGTCTTACTTAGTGCACTACTTAAGTAGGTATTTGTGGATGGCCAAGAGGAAATGATGACAGAGTGCTTTGTAAGTATCCCTTTATTCTTTGGTAAGACATTCAATGGTGCCAGTTATAAAATATGCTAGTTTTCTCCATAAAGCTGTCTATAAATATGTCTAGGTAATTATTATAGGACACAGGCAGAATATCCTATTACTTTTACAGATAGAAGTCAATCATGTCAATACTATCATCAAAAGTATAAAACAGAACAAGAAAACAAGCACACGAGTACCTAATGCCGGGGGCTTAAGTGGAGAGGAAATGTTTTGAGAATGATGAGGGCAATGAATGTACAAATGCGCTTTACACAATTGATGTATTATGGATTGTGATAAGAGTTGTATGAGCCCCTAATAAAACGATTAAAAAAAAACTGGAAAAAAAGAAAATAAGCATACACAGAGCAGGGCACTCATTGATTGGTATTTTTTTGTATAGTGAGCTCAAGTAAAGGGATGCTTAGGTTGAGTTCTCTATACAAGACCATAGAAGAAAGATTTGTATGCAATTGATTGTTTAAAGAAGTGCACTCAGGGAAAATTAGTAAGGGAGTGGGGAAAATAAGGCAAAGGAAGAAAGCCAAGCAAAAGTACATCTCAGAAAAAAGTTCCATGGATGATTTATTCAATCTGATTCTCTAGGGTTCCTCTAGACTCTTAAGTTCTGCCACAGGGATACCGCAATATAACATGCTTGAATGTCCTATCATCTAGGGCTACCCTTACAGAGACTAATAGCCAGGGCACTTCTGGGACAATGTAAATATTTAGAATGGGAACAAGGGCAGTTCTCAGAAGAGGTTTTGCAAGTATTGGCTATTGAAAAAGTATGAAATACATATTTCTATAGTTATCTGAATGGGGTTCTTTCACCTTGTTATGGACTGAATTATGTTCTCCTAAAATATGTGTCAACTTGACTACGCCACACAATTCTTATAATTATGTCATTATCAACTCCATTATGTGCTCTGAGGTAATTGTTTTATGTGTTGTAAATCCTCACATCCATGATTTAAGTAAGGCAGGATTAGTAACAACAGTTATGTTGAGACAGAATGCAATCTAAAGAACTAGATTGTATTTTGAGCCACTCTCTTTGGAGATATAAAAGAGATTCAACAAGGGAGCAGAGATGAGAGGGAACTATCACAATTAAAAAGAAGAGGCAGGAGTGGAGCGTGTCCTTTAGACCCAAGGTCCCTGTACTAGGAACCTCCTAGTCCATGTAGAAGACTGATTTGCTTATTACTTTTGGTATTTCCACGACAGTAGTACTAGATAACTAAGACACACTCTTAGAAAAAAGGAAGCTTTTTGTTCCCTACAATGGAGTCAGGAGATGGGTCACTTAAGTCAGAGATTGCTTCTCCAATTACTACAAGGCCTTTGGGACTCTGAAACCAGTAAGTCAGATTTTTGGAAGGTCCTTCTGGAGAGTGTCCATTCCGCTTACTTCTTCTGAAATAGAAGAACTGCTTATGCTTTCCCTGAGTGCCAGCCAGCACACAGAAGCAGCCTGCAGGAAGAGGGAAGGATGCTTTGGGCACAATTGGAAGGCAATATCCAACTTTGAAGTTAGCTTCATAGGTATGGGTTTTCTGACTAAAAATGTGACTGCACAGACAGAGAAGGAAATCCACTGCTATCAAGTGGATTTTGACTCATTGTGATCATATAGAAAAGAACAGAAGGGCTCTCTGGGGCTTCTGAGGCAATGAATCTGTACTAGAGCACACAAGTCCCATCTTTCCCTCGTGGAGTGGATGGGTGTTCAAACTGCTGGCTTTGGTTGGTAGCCCAACTGCTGACCAATTATGTCAGGGGACTCCTAGAGAGAAAGAACTCACAAACTCACTGCCATGACTCTATTCTGGCTCACAGTGACACTACAGAACAGAGTAGAACTGTCCTTTTTGGTTTCTGAGGCCTTAAAATCTTTACAGGAGCTGACAGCCTCATCATTGTCTCTTAGAGCCACTGGTGGGTTTAAATTGCTAACCTTGTGGTTAGTAGCTTATACAGAGCTTTACACAGAAAGGAAGAGAAGTGATGAGAGAGGTGACTGTGCTCCGGTGGACAGTGATTAGCACATCACACCTCACCTGAGTGGTTGTGTCTGCTGATGGACAGACTGCCTACAGCATCCACTGTGTATGGTAAATACTGGAAGTTAAAAATCACTCTATATGATACTATAATGGTAGATGTATGACATGATGTGTTGTCAAAACTCATAGAACTATACATCAAAAGCAACAACAACAAAAATGCCACCATCACACTGCTGTTAAGTGGGTTTTGACTCACAGAGATCCTATCTGACAGTGCAGAACCGCTCTCTTGGGTTTCTGAGTCTGTAAATCTTTCGGGAGCAGACAGTCTCATTTATCGTTTGAAGAACGGTTGGTGGGTTTGAACTGCTGATCTGACAGATAGAAGCCCAATGCATAAGCTACTCCATCACCAAATCAAATTAAACTCACTGTCATTGAGTAGATATGGGGTCCAACTCACAGCGACCCCATAGGAAAGATTTGAACTTCCCTTGTGAGTTTTAAAGACTGTATTTATTAGCCCATTAAGAGAAAGTTCTTTTTATTAGCTGTGGTTCCTGAGTGGCACAAACAATTAAGTGTTCGGACACTATCTGAAAAGTTGGTAGTTAAAATCTAGCCAGAGGTTCCTCAGAAGATCACAACTCCTGAAAATTCTTTGCCTGGCAGTTCTAGGCTGAAACACCTGGGGTTGCTATGAATCAGAGTGAAATCAACAGCAACTGGTTTGGTTTCATTTTATGAGTTGGAAAAAAATATGTAAGCTAGTAAAAGAAGATATCAATAAATTTTGGAAAAGTTATACATACAAAGAGACATCAAAGACGGTAGGAAATCCGATGGGATCTAAAACCTTGGTTCTTGAAGTACAGTAATTTGACACCTAGTATCCTGTTAGATGTGCAGAATCTCATCCTCAGTTCTATCAGAAACTGAATTTTGACTAGATACAAGGTGATATGTACACACATGGTTTGAGAAGCACTGCTCTGAGCCATTAATTACTTTATTCAGGTTAAATTAAACCGTATTAACGTAGTGGTGTCAAGCAGTATGATTTTTACTTACATTAAAAAGTTCTTAAAATTCACATCCAAATTCATTAAAACCAAGTTAAATTAAATTAGGTCCCCTTTTGTCAATGAGTTGAATCTGACTCAGTATTTTGGGGAAGCAGTGCACTCTACATGGGGTGCATCTGAATGGAGCAGATTGATAGACCTTTCTTCTGTTAAATCATTGGGTAGATTTAACCACCAGTGTTTCAGTTAGTAGGTGAGCACAGACAGCTTGTGTTACTCAGAAACCTTTTTAGAAACACATAACCAATATTATAAAGAGTATTATTATTGATGCGTTTGGACTGTGGTGCTGATGAAGAGTATTAAAAATACCATGGACTGTCAAAAGAACAAACAATTTTGTGTTGGAAGAAGTACAGCCAGAATGCTCCTTAAAGGCAAGGATGGTGAGACTTCATCTTATGTACTTTGGACATGTTACTGGGAGAGACCAGTCTCTGGATAAGGATATCATGCTTGGTGAAGTAGAAGGGCAGCAGAAACAAAGAGACCCTCAACAGATGGACTGACACAGTAGCTGCAACAATGGACTCAAATATAAGAACAACTGTGAGGCTGGGGCAGGATGGGGTGGCATTTACAACAACAATTCACTATCACGTAAGAAAAATGTCTCTCCTTACTTAAATATTTGGTTTCCTTGCTATCTCCCACCCATTAAAAACAATTACAGGGATTTAAAGACAAAATAAAGCATAAAGGGTAGGTAAGTTAAAACATTTTGCCATATGTTTGGTGCACTGGGGGGACGGTCCACATGCTTTGCTCTGAAGGGTAAGAGCAGGTAAAGATGGTGAGGGGTTAAAGACCTCCATTTCCAACAGACATGATTTCTTTGCTCTCTTCAAAACTCAGGGCTTTAGAGTAGCTCCCTGTGCTACTTTTTTTCAAGTGAGGGAAATATACTATTGAACACAATTGACCCATATCTTCCTTCAGTTTGAGGAACAGTCACAAATATAATTAAAATTAATATAACTGATCCCCCACCCAGAATTAAATTCAACTTGTTAAAGGAAAAGAAAACCCCAAAGAACTTAACAAATCGTTAAAAAAAATAGAGTTCTTGTCCCCTCTGGGTAATGGTTAAGAAGTCAAAGGAACTCCCTGGAACTTGACAATAACATCATTTCCATGAACTGTGATTTGTTCTATTTAGGCAGTGACAGGCCTCTAGTCAGTCCAGGTGGGAAGTGGAAGTTAAAATAATCTGTTCGCAGTCCGATAGCTTTAATACAATCATTGTTTCCTCACTGGTACTGCACCTTTCCCGCACGTCAGGCTCTCTGTGCACATCATCTTTTATTAGTTAAACAAACATTCCCTATTCCCAACTCATCAAAACTTGCCAACATAGAACCAACATGCGATTCTCTCCACAGCAGTTCAGCATTGAACTGCAAGTTGAACATGTTACTCTAGTGGCTTTCAAAGCATCTCTCACAGGCTCAGAACAAATGCTGGTAGCAGGAGACATTTAACATGCTTCCTTATTACTTGGATGTGGAAATTTGGACTCATCCCAGGGAGATGCAGATACACACACACAACACACACAAACACACACAACACACATTCTCTTCCTCAAACTTACTGTTTTTATTTGTGACTTTCTAAGAAACAATCGGAAGAAAGATAAAACTGAAGTATAGATGAAAGGGTTTCCTCCTTACCGCCCCTGGTTTAATAAGTAATACTAATGAATAGGTCTTATAGAGATTAAGTACCTTGGAGAAGAAAAATATCCAAAAGAGGGGGCGCATGCACGCGCACA